TGCTAAGCAACACAGCTCCCAAGCGCGCGCGCGCTCAATCCTCCACCGCCCTGTCTCCCTCCCTCCCCTCCTCCGACAGCGCGAGGCAAGGCGCCTGCGTGCTGTGCGAGTGGGCGGGCGGAACGTTGGAGAAGCTAGGGCGCACGCAGGGCGGAAGTGCACGGCTGGACCTGTGTCAGGGAGCACGTGGGCGCTACTGCAACGGTCGCGGCGTCCTCGTGTCCCGTCGGTGAGGCTGTGTCTCCGAACGCACGTGGGAAGGGGCCACGGGGAGCGCCGTGCACGGCCAGCGGGGCTGGGCAAAGCAGCACGCGCCCTCTACCACAGGGATCGATGAAAGCTAGGTGGAAAAGGGGGGGCCGGGCGCTAAGGGTCAACATTTGAACTTTAAACATAATTTAAATGCAGACTAAATACCCTCCTTCCCCTCCCCCCGCACTCCTTTTTTCCTCCCAAACTCTCAACCAGCTATAGTTTTGTTGCAGTAGCTCCTCAGACTCAAGAGCACTGACCATCTAACCTGGCACTCCTGGCCAGCATACCTTCACTGCTCAGCACAGAAGTGCCCGCTGTGGGTATCCTTGCAGCAAGCTGACTGTACCACCAAAATTGTGTCTATGTTCTTATCTGTGGATTTACTATTTAGATTTTATTCTGGTTCCTGCGTCTCCGCAGTGTGGCTTACTTTTCCTGCTGGCATTTCACCTGTACATATGCATTTGTAGCATAGACTCTGCTCTTATCTTCCACCCTGCTTCACGACACCCACCTTCAGTTAATCACATCCGCCTAACGAAATAATAGTTTTCTTCTGCTTTGTGATACTTTTGGGAGAGGGAAGTTGGAGCAAAATTTGTTCAACTGTTTTGAAGTATTTGTGAAAAATACATTTAAACAATTAGATTTTATATGTAAAAAAATAAGTTGGCTTTTAAATATTTTGGCTAGTAGCTGTTCGTATATCAGAAGGTCAAAAGCAGCCACTTTGCTTATTTAGTCTGACCTGTGGAACATAGCTCTGAGATTTCTCTGAATTATTTCCCTTTTGACTAAAGCATAATTTATCTAAAAAAAACCCCATAAGATTTCCAGTGATGGCGCTTGCACCACCATTTTAAAGCTCTTGTAGTGGTTCCTCTTTGAAATGTAAATGGTGTATTTCTGTTTACTTTGTAGGAGCATGTAGAGGATTAGGAATCTGGGCTCTGCTGGCCACTGAACAGTCTCTTAAGACCCTATTTCCATAAACACTTTCATTTAAATTTAACTTTATTCACATGACTAGTTTTACTGACTTCAGTGGCACAGTTCTCATGTGTAAGTGATTGTAGAGATAGGGCCTAAGGTTTCCCCCATTTCTCTTTGGTGTTGGAAGTCATGTAGTTTTATGGATTAAGATTATGGGGTCCTAAGACGAGGGGGAGAAAAGGGCCAAACTATGAATTACATATTGCAAATAATAAATAATAATTAGGAAGTAAAAAATTATCTACATATATATTTACATGTTGTTTGTTTATGTAAAATTAATAAATGTATTCCAATCTCACTACATTGTATTCAAACATTTTTTTCCCTAGCTTTAGCCATGGCAAAGTCATGAATGATGTCACTGTAATCCAAAAACCTCTCCATGCTCAAGAGGGACAAAGCAGTGAGATGCTCTTGAATCATGGTCGATCGGAAGTAGGGAATTTAAATCAACTTATTGAGTAGTCGATGGAATTTCCATCGACTTCTTGATTAGTCGATACGGGAGGGAGGTTCAGCGGGGAACCTGGGGTGAGCGAAATCCTAGCTGCTGCACCTCTGCCTTTTAAATGTATTAAGAGCTGCCCAGCTTTTACTACATTTAAAAGGCAGAGACACAGCAGTCTAGATCCGGCACGAGCAGGATCTACTTCAGTCCCCGCTCACGCCAGGTTCCCCTCCTACTCCCACACCATGGAGATGGTGCTGGGGGGAACTGGCTCTTGCTCCTTCCCCACAACTGCCTCTGATATAGAGGCAGCAAGAGTGTAGGGGGATGTGAGTAGTCAATTTGACTACCTGATAAGCCTAGGTTTATTGAACAGTTGACAATTCAGCTACTCTTTTACATCCCTAATTGGCCATTTTTTACCCTTGTTAGAAGAAAGAGAGAATATTCTGCACTACAGTTAGTGACCATTAGTGATAAATACAACTGTAATGCAGTTTTAAAATTTGAGAAACATTCTATCACATTGTATTCAGGGATAACTGGATATATCCAAATACATTTGATTTGATTTTTCCCCTATATGTATAGCTGAGAGTGATGTGAATTCAACACATTTTAAAAAAATTAGTAAAATCTTGTTGGATAGTATCTGGGTACTTCTGATACAGATGTTTCATACTTTGAATGACTTTGGACCTTGAAAAAGTAGGTGAAAAATTTGATAGTACAGTTCCATCATCCCATATCTCCTATCTTTTATGGTGTTTGGTTGACTTAATATTAGCAGTCTTTGCAGCCCCTGCATATTCATCAAAAATATCCTGCATTTGTAGAAGAGATTTTTCTTTAGATTTAGGTCAGTTTGAGCATTCTACAAGTTTAGACTGAACCTGCTGAATGGCTGAGGTATATCATTCCAGGTCTCGCACAAAATACCTGTTTCCAAAGTATGCATTGTATCACCCAGGATCATTGCCTCTTTTTGATTTTTGAGGTTCATGTCTTTGACGCACTCTAGCATTTCATTAATGTTGGGGTATGCCAGAACAACTGTATTTACATCTTCAGCATTGGCACTCTCCCTGAAAGTGATTTGCGCATTGGGTGTCCTTTTGGTAATGAATCTTTAAGAATCATCGGAAGTGTGGTTGATGTAGAGAAAAAATTGCACAATTTTTGGCCAAGAGGTCAAGTCCAGTCCTTCATGGCAGGACCAATCACTATTTAGATCATCTCTGACAGGTGTCTGTCTAACCTGCTCTTAAATATCTCCAGTGATAGAGATTCCACAACCTCCCTAGGCAATTTATTCCAGTGTTTAACAACCCTGTGAGGAAGTTTTTCCTAATGTGCAACCTGTGGAAGAAAACAGGCCTTCACTCTGCGTAGGTAAGCAACAAGTAGTCGGAGACAGTTTATTTGAGCAATATTGCAAGGGAAGAAGCTGCTGCTAGGCAGATGGTCAAATACAAAACAATTAGAAGCCAATATATATATATTGTCTGTTTATATATAATAACAATAAACAATTATTCCCCTTTCCATAACAATTCCCTTCAGATGCAACCTTATCTCAAGGTCTTCATTAGAGTCAGCATTCTGTCCTTATCTCAAGCACAAGAGAGACGAGAGGCGAAAACAGCATCTCACAGTACTCTGCGTTGTTAGGTCTCAGAGTTAGGCTAACCAAAAGGTCAAAATGGCTACATATCCCTTGGCTTCCGCAAACCTAAACCTCCCTTACTGAAATTTAAGCCCATTGCTTTTTGTTCTAGCCTCAGAGGCCAAGGAGAACAATTTTTCTTCCTCCTCCTTGTAACACCTTTTTAGATACTTGAAAGCTGCTATCATGTCTCCCCTGAGCTTTCTCTCTTCCAAACTAAAGCCCAGTTTTTTCAGTCTTCCCTCATAGGTCATGTTTTCTAGACCTTGAATCATTTTTGTTGCTCTTCTTTGGACCTTCTCCAATGTCTCCACACTTTTTTTGAAATGTGGCACCCCGAACTGGACACAATACTCTAAATGGGACCTAATTAGTGCAGAGGAGTGGAAGAATGACTTCTCGTGTCTTGCTCACAACACTCCTGTTAATGAACCCTCGAATCATGTTTGCTTTTTTTGCAAGTGTCACTCTGTTGACTCATGTTTAACTTGTAATCCACCATGACTTCTAAATCAGAATGCAGGGAGAGAAGTCACAGGAGGCAGTTCCTTTTTTTCAGGCACAGCAGGTTCAC